GAGAGAGAGAGGGAGGGAGGGAGGGAGGGAGGGAGGGAGGGAGAAAGAGTCACCAGTCACCAGAGAGACTTAGGGTACTCCTTGGCTCGATAGTCGGCAACAGAAGTTGTAAAACACATTGTCTCACATCTGTGCAGGCAGTGCACTCGTGCAGCATCAGCAATTTAGCAATCAGCATACAGGCTAATAGTAATAGATGACTGAAAATTGCACAAAAAAATGGAAATATGGAATACCTTCATATTAATTATTACCCCTAAAAAAATTTCAATTGCACAAAAAATAATTTATATTTCTATTTCTAGTAAATTGCACAAAAAATAAATCCAATTTTTCAAACAGATCACAGAAGGAAATATGGAATACCTTCATATTAACCCTAAAACAATTTCGTGTTGATTATTGTAAAATTTAAATTCGATGATTAACATAAATTGTCACTCTGTGTTGACTTTATTTGATGTCTAAACATCTAATAACACTGAACCTTAGTACTTACGCGAATTTTTCGAAAGCAGAGATTTCGAAATTGCATCAAATGTCCAAACTCCAATGAATTTGTGTTGTTCCCTCTTCTTCGAATTCGAATTGAAATTGGAATTATAGATTGGAATGGAGTACGCCGTGTGGATTGGAGAGTTAAGAAATGAGGAAAAGTAGAAAAGGGTTTGGCTTTCTCTTTCACGATTTGGGGATTGGATTTGGAAATTTCTCTATTTCGCGTTTCACCCCTGCCCTCTGCCTTTGTGGTTTAAGACTTTCACGCTTTCAGGCTTCAGCAGTCAGTAGTCATCTTAGTGGTTTGGGACTTTGGTTGATCCAATTCCAATTATTAATGGTATTGGACATTTGTGCTAATCAAAATTGGGCAAAAAATAACCTTAATCAATAAGCTTCAGCCCAGCAATTCGGCCCAAACCAAAAAAAAAAAAAAAAAAAAAAAAAAAAAATTGGAAGAAGAAGAAGAAAAGGGATCTTGTCTTCATTCTGTCATCTTCGTCTCATCTTTAGTCTCTTCTCTGATCGGCTCTGCAACTTTCCCATTTGCTACTCGACGGTTCTCAAGACTTCGACGGAGCCAGTACGGGCAACTGCGCCCCCTCGTCGGGTACAGGCTCAGCGCCTGATCCCAAGCAAAGGAAAAAATCCTGATAATGCAAAAGAAATAATACAAAAATGTGCCTTTGAATACATCAGCATCATAGCTTCTAAAGAAAATGAGAACATTGCAAGACAGTCACTCATAAGAATGTTCTCTATGCCATGGAAATTGGGGTTTGAAAACTATGTAGAACTCCTCACACTTATGTTGAACAAGGACCAAGCGCAAAACGCGGAGTGTAGTCTTAATGTCTAGATCTAATATCTCTGCAATCACCACCTAATATTTCAGGACAAAAGGAAGAATAAATGAATACAATAAAGCTATTACATCTAGCACATGGTGCAACTAAATCAATCAAACTGCCTCCTAAAATTTCAATATAAAAGTAAAAAAATGAATTAACACAACAAAACTATTACAATTGTTGGATTTTGATATCCAATAAATTTGGACAATAATTTAAAACAGATGCTGGATACTTTATTGACACCTTGGCTCGACTAGAAAATAACCAACACTTTTGGAAGGCCCAAGTTTTAGTTAGTATTTGGCATTGGATTATTAGTTGGATGGTAATATGTATGGTAGCCCATTTATATCGATCGGTCTTGACTAATGGAATATTGGTGGCCCAATAACCCTTTGGCCCAATTGTTGATATAAATAAGGGCTGGACAAAACTCCCGAACCAAACTGACCGAACCGAATCGAACCGAACCGAACCGAACTGAACTGAACGATTTTTTTAAGTTAAATACTTGAACGGATATCTGAAATGAGAACTGATAGGTTTGATTCTGTTCTCGATTCTAGATCAGAAACTGAAGAATCGAGTAAGAACCAAATCTCCTGAATTTTATTAATTAATTTATTTTGAATAAGCCAGAGTATCTTATTTTTTCTAAATAAATTTACTAACTAGTTATTTAACTCAAAACCAAAAATATGATTTTCTTATTTCTAATTTTTAGCTCAAAGCCAACTTAATCAAATTGACCTAAGTTTTATCCAAATCTATTACTCTACCTTAGTGTCGTTTGTATTGTTTTGGAGAAATCAAATTGAAACTCGACAACGCTTCTCTTAATTATTGTGTACTTGCTATCTTTATCTTCTTGTGATTTTAAAAATCAAATCTACGAAGAACTCAACAAAGAGAAAAGTAAAAGAGACATAAGATTGGACTACGTTATTTTGTAAGAGTTAAGATTGAATGTATCATTAGTTGAATTAATGTAACTTTGTAAATATTAAAAAATTTAATTATAATATGAAACCAGGGAACTGAATCGAACCGAACCCGAACGATTCCATTATTAGATTTGGACCAGACGGTTCCTCATACTAAATACTTGAAAATTCGGGATCTAGTTTGATTCTAACATGTCCAGCCCTAATATAAACTAATTATAAACGCACTCCATCTCTTGTAGCCATTTTCTCCGTGTGTGTGTGTATTATGCAAAAAGTTTGAGTGCAAAAATGAGAGAGAGGAGGCAGTCAAGTTGGGGGGGATTGGGAAAGATTTCCACCATTATTGCTACTTATTCTTCCTACTCTTGCTAGTGCCACCACTATCATTCTCCTTTGTGAGGGATGAGAAGACTTGTCATAACTAAAGTAAAGGTAAGGTTTTGAGTCACGTTTAGATGTTTTTGGTGATGTTTAATGGTTTTTTTGAGTCCAAAGTCAAGATTTCGAGGAGTTTCTGCAACAGATGGTATTAAAGCTTGTGTTGTTGAGGAATATTTGAAAATGGGGCAAAAAGGGACTGGAAATAGGCTGAAATTGATTTGAAAATGGCATAAAAAATAAGGTAGAAATCTATCCAAATTTTCTTCAAATAACTGATTTTTATTTTTTATTTTTTTCATTTTTTTGGCAAAATAACTTATCATTTGAAGAAATCAATACCACATGCCAACTTAGGCAGAGGGGACTGGCTAGTTTGTGAGTTTGACAAAGCTGCATAACATTGGAGTTGACGTCGACGATGGCATGTGGCAACGCATGGAGTATTTTTTTGTGGCAGTTTTTTTGACAGAATGTTGCTAGTGGCATGGCAAACCTACGACGGTGTTCATTTGTTGTTTCAAGTGATATGGTGAAATTTAGATGATTTCACCCTTGAACGTTTGGGTACTGTGTGTTGTTTTGTGTTGTCGCATTTGCTAGAAACTTTAGGGTGAATAGTGATGGTCCCAAAGTAATAAATTTGCTTCTCTCCTAGTCTATAGATTCACAAATAAGGTCCCTTCAGTATCGTGTTCTTCACATTTTATTATTGCAATTAAGACTGTTGTGCAGGGCAGTCATTTACTTTTCGCATTAGAAGTCATCATGTGGGGTAAAATTAGGTTTAAGGTTATCGCATAGGGTAATCATTGCTTGTTCTAGACCTAGGAGTTATTTGTTAATTATTTGGGCCTAAATTCTCTGTAGATTTGTTGTCAAATTTTTCTACACTATTAGAATTGCACGTAAACTTAAAAAAGTTTATTTGACTATTCAGTGTAAATTGTGTATGTACATTACTTGTGATCATTATTTGATATTGGTGGCATATATAGGTCAAAGTCAAGTGGGAAGTAAGAGGTGTTTTAACTATAATATTTTGGACATGTTGAAAAAGACTATCCTAGGGAGTAAAATACGAGGAAATAAAAGGAGATAGGTGAGGCGAATGTCATCATTGGGTTTAGTTGTGGCCCATGTGAGGTTTATTGACAGTAAACACAGTTACTGCATGTGCATCCATGCATAATCCTTTCTGGATGTATAATTGCTTAATTCTGTTGCATGGTTATATAGCATTTCAATATGTTTGATATGTGAATTCGCATGAATTCGAGACAATCTAATTACTTAGTGTAATGTGTTCACATGCATAGTGGAGTGAGATACATTGGCAGTAAGTGTGTTGTATGTCTATCAGTGAGGTGGAGTATAGATCTCTAAGGATGAATTGGTAATATACATGGGGATGTCAAGTGTGACAATTGAGTCATGATTCGAGATGTGATTGAATGCTGGAATCGTCTATCTGTTAAGACCCTGATTAGGGGGAGTGTGAGAGTGACATTTCTATCACTTCTGTTAGGTGAAGACTCATTATCCTCTTAGGATGAGAGAAGGTAAAGATAAAGGATTATCCCGTGGTCTTAGGATCTATAGTGATTTACTAATTAGACATGTGCAAGTGATCAGTCTAGTGAGCATAATAGACGATGAGAGAATATATGTGTTCTCGAGATGAACAAGATGGATATGATAATTGTGGTGAGATCTTTTCATGGGGTTATTTATGCATTTATTGTATGGTTGGCTATTTGATTGATTAACTTGATATTGATCTAATGTTCTTTGTTGAGCATGTTTGAAAGACCTATGTATTATCTTATGTTATGTCTTCATCACATGTTTATTTGCTCTTGTTTAATTACTTCGATTATTTGCTTCTACCTGGGTGTTCTTGACCTTAGCCTGGTGAATATATGGAACATGTATGATATGTGTTTCAGGTCTGAGACATGAGGTAAGGTCTATGAATTCAAATTTATTTGGACCTTGATTACGCAAGAATAAACTTTTTGTTTTGGTTGCTTGCAAGTTGAATGGGTATCAAGATGAAGATTTGTTGGGTTTTGATACCCAATAAATTCGGTTGAGGATTTAAAACAAACTTATATAATTTATCGAAGTCATGGGCTTGGCTCGACTCGAAAACAACCAATAATTTTGGAGAGCCCCAAGTTTTGATTAGTATTTGGGTTTGGGTTATTAGTTGGATGGTAATATGTTAGTAGCCAATTTATATTGGTTGGTCTTGACTTATAGAATATTGGTGGCCCAGTTGTTGACCTAAACTAATTATATATGCACCCCTATCTCCTGTAACCGTTTTCTCCTTGTACGTGTGTGTGTTGTGCAAAAGTGTGAGGGCAAAAACAAGACAAGGGAGACAGCTGGATTGGGAGATCTGGGAGAGATTTCCACCATTGTTGTTTTTTCTTTTTCTTCCCACTCTTGCTATTATCACCGCCATCCTTCTCGTTTGGGGGGTTGAGAGGACTTGTGGCAACCAAAGTGGAGGTGAGGTTTTGGGTCAAGCTTAGGTGGTTGTGGTATTCGTTTGATGGTTTTTAAGCTCAAAATCAAGATTTTGAGGAGTTTTACCAACAACAATAATAGAGAAAAACTAAAAGGGACCTCTTTCCTATAATTATTGAAAATTTGAAATAGAAAATACATAATATATTTTTACATCGACCAAGTTAGTTACAGTTCTTATTTTTCAGTCTAATCACAATCAATTAACTTTATAGCAGTCACAAGAATTGATCTTTATCTGTATTAAATAAAACAAACAACTCTCTAAAATATAGGAATCTAGCTTTTTATCTTATGTTGTAGAATGGCGGAATCCCATATCAAAAGTTTAATAAAGACAAATCATAATGTAATTATACAGGGAACCCCAACCCCTTATATTAAACACAAATAAGAAAGTGATAGAGGAATTCTTTAGGAAACAAAGAACACGTTTATATATTATTTTGAAATTGGTTTAATAAGGTCACACTTGCAAGATCTCCTAATTGTAGGTAACTCTTTTAAAGTTTGAAACAATGAAAATTTTCCATCTTCGTTAAAAAGGGCACGTAATAAGAGATATCATTATGAATAGACAGAAATAAAGAAGTTTCTTTTATAGTCAGAAGTGTATATGGTTCCATTCGGTACTTGTATCAAAAGAATCGAATCAAACCATGAACTAATAATTTTCTGATAATGAAATCAATGATTTTTTAATTATATGGAACCAAATCAGAACTAAACCACTTGATACTAGTTTGGTTTTTAATTCCATTACTAAAAATACAAAAAATAAAACATGAAACATTTGGCAAATGAAATGTTAGCTGAGGTGTAGGAGTGCGAGCCTGTGTCTAAAATTGAGAAAGAAAGAAATAAGTTAGAATTTAGATCTAGGTCTCGACTGCTTTGTCTAATAGATGATAAAGTAAAATATAATGGTAAATGACCTTTCTTTCATTTCATATATTTTTAAAGTTGGATTTTTTTTGTATGGCTCACTAATTTGTAAAGACAAAAAATAATAAAATAATAAAACTTGAGTTCGATTCTCGATTCTGATTCTTGATTCTAGAACCAAAATCAAATGGTTCTCGATTCTAAAAATCAAAATCATCAATTTTTTTTTTACTAAATTGAACCTCTCGATTTGGTTTAATTTTGA